CAAATGTCTAGAACCCTGGCAAGTGACAGCTTATTTATTAGATGGACTGGGAAAATGTATTGACTTATAAGCTGTTTTATAAGGAAATAACAGAAGTATATTTGAGTGAACGGTAGAAGTTACTGCTGGGCTCTTTCTTTCTTTCTTTCTTTCTTTCTTTCTTTCTTTCTTTCTTTCTTTCTTTCTTTCTTTCTTTCTTTCTTTCTTTCTTGAGTCACCTCACCATGAGATAGAGCATTACAAAGCTGTTCATGATTGGGTTTCCATCATACAGTGTTCCAACACCCATCCCTACACCAATGTACATTTCTCAGCACCAATGTCCCCAGTTTCATTCCCACCCCCCCCCCAATTGAGCTGAGAGAAAGACCATCAGCTAAGGCAGTGGGGTATAAAAATTAATACACTGGAATTATAAAGTGAGGGAAAAAGGGAGAATTTCATATTGTTTTCGCAGAGTGACCATAGTTAAGCTTTTTTTTTTTTTTGCTTTTGCTTTTTGGGTCATACCCGGCTATGCTCAGGGGTTAGTCCTGACTCTGCACTCAGCAATCACTCCTGGGGTGCTCGGGGGACCATATGGGGTGGTGGTAATTGAACCCGGGTTTGCCGCATGCAAAACAAGCGCCCTACCCTCTGTGCTATCGCTCCAGCCCCAAGTTAGAACTTATTTCTTACCATCTGTGTACATTTTCCCCTGCTTTTTGGGTCACACCCAGCGATGATCAGAGGTTACTCTTGGCTCTGCACTCAGGAATTACTCCTAGCGTGCTTGGGAGGGGCTGGAGCGATAGCACAGTGGTAGGGCATTTGCCTTGCATGCAGCCAACATGGCCGACCCGAGTTCAATTCCTCCGCCCCTCTCGGAGAACCTGGCAAGCTACAGAGAGTATCTCGCCCGCACGGCAAAGCCTGGCAAACTCCCTGTGATGCATTCGATATGCCAAACACAGTAACAAAAAAAAGTCTCACGATGGAGACGTTACTGGGCCCGCTCGAGCAAATTGATGAACAATGGGAGGACCGTGACCGTGACTGTGCTTGGGTGGGCCATGTGCAAGGCAAATTCCCTACCCATTTTGCTATTGCTCTGGCCTCACAATATGTGTACTTTTTATGATTAAACTGCATACATCTATCATGCCTAGTAGTGGTATTTTTTCAGCTTCAGAATGGTTTTGGGGGGAGTTAGTTTTAGAGCCACACCCGGCAATGCTCAGGGGTTGCTTCTGGCTCTTTGCTCCAGAATTACTCCTGGCAGTGTTTGGGGGACCATGTGGATGCCAAAGATTGAGCCTGGGTCAGATGTGTGCAAGTTAAGCACTCTACCCTCTGTACTAATGCTCTGGTCCCTGTCATCAACATCTTAGCCAAATTGCATCTATTCCTTGATGATGCTGATAAAATTAAAGGAAATTGGAATCGTTTAAATGTTGGCTTCTAATAACTATTAGGGCTGGAGCGATAGCACAGAGGTAGGGCATTTGCCTTGCACTCAGCCAACACGGCCGACCCAAGTTCGATTCTTCTGCCCCTCTTGGAGATCCCGGCAAGCTACCGAGAGTATCTCGCCTGCACGGCAGAGCCTGGCAAGCTACCCATGATGTATTCGATATGCCAAACACAGTAACAACAAAGTCTCATGATGGAGACATTACTGGGCCCACTTGAGCAAATCGATAAACAATGGGAGGACCGTGATTGATTGACTGTGATTGACAAACCTAATAATAATGGATTCTCCTGCACATAATTCTGATACCACGCCATTACCAGGGTACTCATCTCCCTCTCCTGAGGACCCTACCAAACTTCCCTCTCAACCTCCCCATTCCACACAACTCAATTGTGTGGATCACTTCTCCCATTTTGTTGCCTGGGGACCATTAATACTACTGCACTTAATCACTTAATCACTTAACTTCCTGTTAGTCGTCGATTTGCTCGAGCGGGTGCCAGTAACGTCTCCATTTGTCCCTGTCGCGTGCTAGTGTAGCCCAATGGCATCTGTTCGCTCCGGGAACATGAAGGGCCTCAAACCGATCGTTCATGATCTTGACGAAGACTACTGCACTAGGTATCTTTAAGTACCACATATGAGAGAGATTGGTATTTTTTTTTCAGTATTTTAATTTTATTTATTTTCAATTTTTTTAATTGAAATACCATGAGATACATTTGGGGCTGGAGCAATAGCACAGCAGTACGGTGTTTGCCTTGCACACAGCCAGCTGAGCTGAGCCAGGTTCGATTCCTCCGCCCCTCTCAGAGAGCCCAGCAAGCTACCGAGAGTATCTCGCCCGCAAGGCAGAGCCTGGGAAGCTACCCGTGACGTATTCCATATGCCAGACACAGTAACAACAAAGTCTCAAATGGAGACACTACTGAGCCCGCTCGAACAAATCGATTAACTATTAATACAAAATAGTATGTTTACCTAGTAAATAAGAGACGCTGTTAGACAGACAGGACCTTAATATCTAGAAGGCTTCAACAATCCAATTAATGACTGAGCAAATATAAGAAAACCTTGGAAGTGGAACCCCTCCTAATGCTTATAAGATCATGACTGCTGTTCATCCCTCCCCCAAGTACTCCACTCTCTGTTGGATTTACAATGAGGTGACAATATTTTCTTATGCAAATTTTAATTTAATTAAAGGACTGTAATTTTTGAAGTTATTGATAGCTGATATTGATAGGCGTATACTATTTCAACTCCAGTCCCACAACCACTGTCAACTTTCCTCCACCAGGGTACCCATATTCCCTCCCTGCCCCCAAACCCCACCCTATCCCCACCTGCCTACTTGACAGGCATATTGCAAAATTCCAGTGGGTGAAGCTTAGATCTCCGTGTTGTTGTTTTTTACACACTGATTACTATTTTTTATTTTATTTATTTTTTATTTATTTTTTAAATTTTTATTAGTGAAACACCACGAGGTACTTTTGTAGATTTACAAATTTGGGGGCTTGGGTTTCAATTATGCAATGGTTGAGTACCCATCCCTCCACAAGTGCCCATTTTCCACCACCGCTGATCCCAGTATCCCTCCCAATCCCCATCCCCCTCATCCCCCAATGCCTCTATGTCAGGGCATTTTTCTTTTGTTCCCTCTCTCCTTTTGGGTGTTGTAGTTTGTTTGCAAAAGAGGCATTGAGTGGAAATCATGTTCGGTCTATAGTCTACTTTTAGCATGCATCTCCCATCCTGGGAGGGTCCTCCCAACACCTTTTATTTGGTGCTCCCTTCTCTATCTGAGCTCCCTTTTCCCCTAGCATGTGTGGCTGGACTCTAAGCCATGGAGTGAACCTCCTGGTACTTATCTTGGCTATTCTTGGGTGTTGGTCCCCTACTTTGTTACTTTATGTTCCCAAGATGAATGCAATCTTTCTATGTCTGTCCCTCTCCTTCTGACTCATTTCTTGTAGCATGGTACTTTCCATGTAGTACCACTTGTATGTAAATTTCATGATTTCATCTTTTCTAATAGCTACATAGTACTCCATTGTGTAGATGTACAGTTTCTTTAACCAGTCATCTGTTCTTGGGCACTCAGGTTTTTTTCCAGATTCTGGCTATTGTAAACAGTGCTGCAATGAACACAAGTGCAGATGTCACTTCGGCTATACTTTTTTGCCTCTCTGGGATATATTCCCAGGAGTGGTATTGCTGGGTCAAATGGGAGCTCAATTTCTAATGTTTTGAGAATCGACCATACTGTTTTCCAAAAGGGCTGAACCAGTCAACATTCCCACTATCAGTGAAGGAGGGTCCCTTTCTTGCCACATCTGCGCCAACACCGGTTGCTTTTGTTCTTTTGGATGTGGGCCAGTCTCTGTGGTGTGAGACGATATCTCATTGTGGTTTTGATCTGCATCTCCCTGATGATTAGTGATGTAGACATTTTCTCATGTGCCTTTTTTTCCATTCAGATTTCTTCTTTGAAAAATTTTCTGTTCATTTCGTTTCCCCATTTTTTTGATGGGGTTGGGTGTTTTCTTCTTCTGGGGTTCAACCAGTACTTTGTATATCCTTGATATCAACCCCCTTGTCAGATGTTTATTGGGCAAAGTTTTCAACGTTGTTGAGCCTGTGTTTTGAATATATGACTATACCAGTCATCCATATCTCCATTATCACAACCATTATAATGGTGCCAGTTCCCCCTTTACTTTCCTCTCTCTTCTTCCCTTAATCTCTTTCATTGTTTGTCCTTCTCTCTAAACACAGGGAACAATGGTGATCTAGGCATCTATCTTTACTATAATTCATTTCTTCATCTAGTATACTATATTCCACATCCTGTGTTTGTCTTTCTTGTTCTGACTTACTTCACTCTACATTATATCTTCCAGTTCCAACCATGGTGCAGTAAGTAGCATGATTTCATCATTACTTACAGCTGCATAGTATTCCACTGGTGATTATCTTTATATGCTGAGCCTGGACAATGCTTTTATATTTTCTAATAATAGTTTCTTCTAGAAAGAAACTAGAAATATAAAAGGAAGTACATCAGAAAGTGATTGTGATTGGATCTTTAACACCAACATCAATTCTATCGGTCCTGTCTCAGCCTGAAATTTCTTGCCTTGGGCCCTTTAAAAATCAGAGTTTTCCAAACGACCACAGGACCACAGTAAGAAACAAATCTTGTCAACAAAACTCGTTGTTTTCTTGGATATAACTAGAGGCTATCGTGCTGAATGAAATGAGTCAGAAAGATAGGAATCTACACAAAACTATCTCTCTCGTGTGTGATTTAAAGTTACACAGCAAGGTAGCAACAGAGGCCAATGGCAACTTAATGGTGGAACTGAACCACACAACTGAGATGGGGGTTTGAGAGGAAGGGGTGTTGGAATCCTCAGGAGAGGGAGTTGGGTACACTGGTGAAGATGTGGTGTTGGAATTACATACATGTGAAACAAATATTGAGTATTGTATACCATGGAATTTCAATCAATAAAAATCTAAAGTTAAGCATATCTCAATGTTTACTAAAGTATTTTCCTGTTTGAACCTTGATCCTTACAGATATCACTTTATGGAGAACTCTGAAGAAATGGACCAAATGCTCTATCAGGATGGACAGGTGGAAATGGAGGCAGCCAATGGTATGGGGCCATATCAGGACAGTTTCTCAGTATTGCCCATGAACCCTACTGGAGAAGTCAGCCAGCCAATTGACTATTATGGAAACCTCGAGAACCGATTGTGTCCTCAAGCTTCCCATCAATTTCAAGGACATACAGGCCCCATCCAGCAGCCTCCAATCAACCCACCCACTCAAGAATGCAACTTCAATTTGCAAAACTCGAGTGACTCTATATTGAGATACTCAAGTGAATACAGTCACTTATATCATCGTTCCCAAAATGCCCCATATTATGGTCCCTCGGAATCTTCTTGCCTGCCCTTAATGTCTGAAACACCGATGGTGTGCGGGAAAAATGACACTTACCAGAACACAGACATAAAGGCCCAGGAAGAAGAGGTACCCTACAAACAGCAGAAAAATATTAGAAAGACAAGAGCGCCCACTTGGAAAGACTCTCAAAGCATCATAGATATAGTTCCGGAGAGGAAAAAGACAACTCCCATGAATCCTGCATATGCGATCCGAAAGTCACGAATTACCAACAGTGTATACAAATGGCCATTCAGAGACAGAATAATCCATCTGTTGGCACTGAAGAACTATAGAAAGACTGATCTGCTCGTTCGACTTCAGAAAGATGGCATTCCAGAAAATGACAAGAACACCCTTGGGAGAATTCTGCAAGAAGTAGCCATTCTAAACACTGATTTTTCATATAGCCTAAAGGACTCTGTCTTTAAAGAGATCAGGAAAGACTGGCCTGGATACAATAACCTAGACAGGCAGTCACTGGAGTTGATCCTTGCCAACAAGGCAGAGTCATTCCAGAAATCCAGCAGTAACACCCAGCCACAATTTTCTAGTAGAGATGGCACCTTATCTTTTTCCCAGGATCAATCATCCAATCCAGGTTTTATTGATCCTCTAAGGAGAAGGAAAGTCAGAATATCTCACCTAGCAACGGCAAGCCGGCCAACACTAAACAGAGAAAACTCCACTCTTATTCGTCCTCCACCATCTGCAACAACTGTGAGCTCTGTCGCATCACCAGAACTCACAGCTACCATTCCTATTTCAAATTCAATGCCTGTAGCTTCCAGCTCTGCTTCTAATGGCACTGCACAAGGACTGGGCACTCAACACCACACCTTCAGACAAAAGAGTCGAATCTCTGAGAGTCAAGTAAAAACCACCAATTTGAAAATGTTAGCCTCTTCTTCATTTGCCGCAAAAAAGCGTAAAAGTGTAAGAAATCCATGTTTGAGATCTATTAATAAATTTAAACGTATGTTTTTAAAATACAGAGTCAAGAACCGGATGTGCAGTACCACAACAATGAAGAAAGAGAAGACAGAAACAAAACCCCAGAGGGAAGACACGGAGATGAATCCTGCTGAAGAAGCTCCGACAGCTTGCAGTGCGTCTGCTACAGCACCTGCACTTCCAGATTATTTGACTAAATATGTCACTGTAGATAGCCCTGAGCAGCGCGAGCATTTTGTACAGGACTTTTATGCAGAATATGATGAGTATCAGACCTTGCATGCTAAGATGGTAGATTTATCCAGAATATTTTTTCAACTAGATGCAGAAAGAAACCAGCTGACTCCAGGCTCAAAGGAGTATCAGGATATTGATGAAAAAGTAATACTAGAGTACCAAAAGATGATAGAGCTTAACCCCAATTTTAAGGAAGAAAAACGTAGATGCTTGTATCTGTATGACAAGTTATCTCACATTAAAAGACTAGTAAGTGAGTATGATCAACAAAACCTCATGGAAACCAGTAGCAGTTCTAGTGGAAGTTGTTCACCAGAGTAAATATATTCTTACTAAAAATGCCAAAGCATATTGAAGAACTCTAAGGGGATAAAGGTTTTTTTTTTTTGGTAGAAATATTCACTACCATTACGTTTCCTTTGCTCTTTTTGCATATTTTTGCTTTTCTGCATTATTTCTTACTTTAGAATTTTCCTTTGTCCCCTGCAAGTTTTTGACTTTTTTTCTGCCTCAAAAACATCTTTGGGATTTTTGTTTCCATTAAAAAGTACTGAGGCTTTTGTGTTTAAATTAAAATGGTATACATCAATAAAATGAAAATGAGTATTACTGGTGTTACTGTTTCTTTTCTAGCAATGCTGTTTTCTTCTGTTTCAGGTGTTTTTTTCTCCTTTTAGTTTTCAGCAGTGTTATTTATGATATACCTTTTTATTTTATTTTTTTTTTGTTATTTATCAGCAAAGAATCACTTGGGATTTACAGTGTTTATTTAAGCTACAGTTGATAAAATTTGTTGGCTGGGAAAATTGTCTGCTAATACAGAGAATACTCTAAATACTGGTCCCCTTATTTCTTATTTTCTTTTCTTTACTTTTCTTGTGATTCTTTGGAGGGGTGGGGATTTAGGCTACACTTAGTGGTGTTCAGGCTTATTCCTGGCTCGGTACTTACACATCACTCCTAGTGGACTTGCTGGTTCATTTGGGGTGTCAGGGGTAGAACCTAGTCTGACTGCATGCAGAGTAAATCCCCTATCTACTGTACTGTAGCCTCTCTCAGATTATTTCCATAATTTCTATCATTTTCTCTCTCCCTATTTCAATCCACATATTTTCTGCTGACCTATTTTCTAGATTTCTAATTTTTGTTTGTGACAACCCCCAAGTTTGATAAGAGGAAAACTTTCTTTTTTTATATGAGCAATACAATAATTCAGACTAGAGGTATAGATTGAAAATGGAAGATAGCACAGCAGGTAGGGTGTTTGCCTTTCACGCAGCTGACCCGGGTTCGATCCCCGGTATTCCATATGGTCCCCTGAGCACTTTCAGGAGTAATTCCTGAGTGCAAAGCCAGGAGTAACCCCTGAGCATTGCTGGGTGTGACCCAAAAAGGAAAAAAAATAAAATGGAAGATGGATATGCTAGAATAATTGTGCACCATAATATGTTTACAGGAATCAGAAACACAGTACAAGGTTTAAAGTACTTTCCTTGCCTGCATCTGAACTGATTCAACTCCTAAACACTAAATGGCCCGTCTCAGCATTGCTTGAAGGAACTTCTGAGTACAAGAATTAGGAGTCCCCTTTAGCAGTGCCAGATGGGAACCCAAATTAAAACATTATCAAAAATATGGCCACAGATAATATCATACTGAAGAAATAATTTTTTTTAAAAAAATCCTAGCTGATTCATGATTTTCCCCCACTTTGTTTAAACACTGTGCATTACAAAGTTGTTCATGATGATTTGTTCCAGACATTCAATATTCCAACCCCAACCCCACCACCCCTGTCACCGTCCCTCCACCGTTGTCTCTGTTTTCCCAGCCAACCCTCAAGCCTATCCCCATAGCAGGCTCAAAATAATTTATTTTGTATTGCTTCTTAGCACTAAATGGCTAATGGAATGATTTTAAAATATACTTCAGTAAAATTAACTTTTGTAAAAAGTATTGTTTCTCACCATGTGGACGAAAAGTTCTTGTCTGAAAGTTTTCTAAGCTGTTACTGCAAGTTAAGCCTTCTGCGTTAATGTGTTTGTTAGCCGAGATTAGTTGACTTCTATGTTATAGTCTGATCCAATCTGGTGTGTGTCTACTGGGATGTTAGTATTATAAAGTTTGGAGATGGAGTATGGCCATGAATGTGCTTCAGAAAATCCAGAACATTTTTTTTTTGGCTTTTTGGGTCATACCCGGCAATGCTCAGGGGTTACTCCTGGATTTGCACTCAGGAATCACTCTTGGCTGTGCTCAGGGGACCATGTGGGATGCTGGGAATCGAACCCAGTTCAACCGTGTACAAGGCAAACGCCCTACCAACTATGCTATCACTCCAGCCCCCAAATCCAGAACATTTGACTAGGCAGTTCAGCCTGAGGCATGGGAACAGCTGTTTGGGTGTGAGTGAGTGCAGCTGCCTGGGCTGGAGCTGGGTCCCCTGTGCTGAGATCACCCCTGAACTCTCAGCTGGGACTGGGTATCTGATAAATTCTTGTGATCTCATGATTTTATTTTTTATTGTCACTTATTTTGAAATAAATGACAAATTAATTTGAAATCACTTATGCACAGGAAACTAATATAATTTTACTTGCTTTATAGACTTCATGGAGATTTGTTTCAACTTACTCCTAGTTTATTCACTTTCACATAATTTTTAATACATAGAGGAGAAATCAGTGTTAACTCTACAAATAAGCTGTGTAACCTTAAAAAATAAATGTTTATGTCTTAGATTGTTCATCTTTGTGAAAATAATAATCTCCAACTCAGATTTATTTCTGAGGATTTTGCGTCATTGATCCATATAATAGTAAACTAGTTAGCTTTGGTGCTGGAGCAGTAGCACAGCGGGTAAGAGTAAGGTGTTTGCCTTGCAGAAGGCTGACCTGGCCAACCTGAGTTTGATTCTTCCACCCCTCTTGGAGAGCCCGGCAAGCTACAGAGAGTATCTTGCCCGCACAACAAAGCCTGGAAAACTACCCGTGACATATTCAATATGCCAAACACAGTAACAACTAGGCCTGCTCGAGTAAATGGATGAACAATGGGAGGACAGTGCTACAGTGCTACAGTGAGCTTTATTTTCAGATTGAGGGTCTACAATCCATATAAGAGTAAACTATTTAGCTTTATTATCAGTTTGAGGGCCTAATGGGGTAATGGACACTTACTGAATTGCAATTTTCACTGTGGTTTCATTTATCACTGAAAAATATTGTCACACACTTAAAGTACCTCAAAATGACATTAATTTCACTCTTTTCGTGGATTAGAAAACCCTGGCACACAGCTTATCTGTTTATCTACTACCGGGCTTTTCACAAGACTACATCTTCATGTTCACTAGGGCTAGGCACCAGCTGAGGCTCAACTCAGGAAGAATCCAGTTTCATATCTGCTTATGGTGTTCCCGTCAGTCAATTGCATTGGATTTTGGACTGGAACCCAGGTTACTTCCAAGATGTTGGTTGGATGCAGACCTCGGGTCTTAGCTGTGTAGGGATCTCCGTGGGGCAGCTCATAACATGCCAGGAAGCGTCATGAAAACTAGTAAGGGAAAACGTTTTGTTAAGAAGATGGGAGTGGCACTCAGTGCCTCTTTTGCAAACCACAGCACCCAAAAGGAGAGAGAGAACAAAAAGGAATGCCCTGCCACAGAGGCAGGGTGGGATGGGGGGTATGGGGGGTGGGGGGGGGATGCTGCGACCCGTGGTGGTGGGGAATGGGCACTTGTGGAGGGATGGGTACTCGATCATTATATAACTGAACCCCAAACACAAAAATTTGTAAGTCTACAACTGTAGCTTATGGTGTTTCACTAATAAAAATTTTTAAAATATTCAAATAAAAAAATTCTCCCTAATAAAAAAATAAATAAAATAAGATTTGGTTAAAAAAAAAGAAGATGGGAGTGACAGTTTTATGTGACAACTGATCAATTAATATGCTATCAACCTTGCCTATTTTATTTGTTAGAAGCAAGTCACAATTTCTGCCCATACCCCACGGGGAAGAGGGATTACAGAAGGTGATAAATATAGGAGGCAAGATCACTGGTGCTTCTTTATAATGTCAGGGTTTTACAGATTTTTTTAGTGTTTTAACCACAATAGAGTTAACACTCGTTTTAACCCTCCCTTTACCCATAATTCATTTTATCATTACTTTCTTCACTGGAGCGATAGCACAGCGGTAGGGCGTTTGCCTTGCACGCAGCCAACATGGCCGACCCGAGTTCGATTCCTCCGCCCCTCTCGGAGAGCCCGGCAAGCTACCGAGAGTATCTCGCCCGCACGGCAGAGCCTGGCAAGCTCCCCGTGACATATTCGATATGCCAGACACAGTAACAACAAAGTCTCCAATGGAGACGTTACTGGGCCCGCTCGAGCAAATCGATGATCAATGGGAGGGCCTTTACTTAACTTTTACTTTACTTTCTTCACTGAATGGGGAAAAATGGTTATATTTTCTTATAAATTGGCTTTGGAGAAAACATGCTCTTATCAATTTGTACAAGTGAAAATGTCTCTCGAGGCCTCCAAAACTCATCTTAAAGATGGCCTTGGAGAGAGGAAACATTTTAACCAAATATTCTTTTTAAAAACTAGTAAATAGTGGCCAGAGAGATTGTCTAGCAGGTAGGGCACTTGCCTTGTGTGCAGCTAACCTGGGTTCCATCTCCAATATTGCATTCCAACTTAGCCTCTTTCTGTGCAACTTCAGAGAAGTTACATGATCGCTCTGCAAATTGATTTTTTTCTTGAGTATTTTGGCAATAAGACTCATCTCACAGAGTTATTGTGTCTGGAACAAGATAAGTACTCAATAAGACAGAGACAATGGTGTTATTATTTTCCTTTGTTAGATGCGTGCAACAAATGTGGGTATGTGTGTATCACACGCAATAGGGCTTAATTCAAAGTTATCTGTAGAACAAGGAACATTTACTATGGCTTGGGGTCCGGAGGGAAACATTTGCCTTCACAGCATGGAAAACATACAAAATGGACTGCTTGATGAGTTCAGAGAATGAGCTCTCCAAAGGCAATCCAAATCAGTGGAGGGATGCTTCCTCCAGGTTTTACAGATTGAAAGATAAAAAAAAAAGACCTTATTTTAACTCAAAACCAAAAGTTAAAATAAACATACCAACCAGGGATTTTCTTATAATGTCACATTATCTCTTGGAAGCAGTATAAGGTTGACAGTCCAGTTGACTGGTGACTCTGGGGACAAAAATTCTATTTTCCTTTGCTGACTTTTCTCCAGTGATATGTTTAATAGGGATATGTTGATCTGGCAATGTAGCTATG